ACGTATTTATATTGTTTTTTTGTCTTATTGGGAAAATTTGTGACGATAAATAAGCCGTAGAGTTAATGTTAGGGTTATTTTGTCATGCCTCCCGAGAGCAGGAATTCAGCTGGAACGAATTAATTGCAGTTCATTTAAATTTTAAAATGGGGAAAAAATTGCCCCAGTTTCGAACAAATCAGGATATGCACAAGTCCCCCGGAAAGGATTAAATTCGTAACCTGAGGTTCCACTGTATACCAGAAATGTTATAAATGGTGCAAAGGTAAGTAAGTAAGTAAGTTTATTCAGGTATACACAAATACAGTTACATAGATTATCATACATAGCAGCATATGGGTAGGAACCTAGGTAACCCAAAAAAGCAGACAGAGTGGTTGCAACGTGGTTGACAAACTCATCCAATTTATTGGTAGTGGTTTTAGGAACAGAATCCATTGTTAAGTGAGAAAAGGCTGTATTTTAATTATTGTTTTGTTTTTTCATCTTTTAATATGGCCTTTCTTTCAATACAGGATATAAAATTTTTGGGGTCTTACCAATGATTTTAAGACACTCAAGTTAGGGTATTGTTATGAATATAAAAACTAATTGTTGTTGTTGCAAACCCACTTCTCTAAAGCCAGCAAAAATTTTTCTTTAAAACTTTTTAGAAGTTTTTTTCAATATTTGTACAGTAACCATTTTATAAAGTGTACTACATAAAGTGATTTTGTCTAAAAGGACTGAAAAAGTGCATTTTTTTTTTTTTGGGGGGGTGGAATTGCTTAAAAAAACCCTTATAGTATGCTCTGCAAGTATGGAAACATCAATTTACACCCCAAAACTTTGGGAATCCTGCGTTGGTTTTTCCCCCCTCCGACTCTGGTTGAGCAAAAGGTCAGTTTTTTGGAGGGACGCCCCCCCCTCACATACCTGCCTACACTTTCTTGCTCAGTGTTGCAGGCTTTCGTGCCTGAGAGAAAATCACTATTTATAGATCAGAGAAAATAAAAAAATGAGTTTTGGGGCCCAGTAGTGCGTTTTGATGTGCAAAGAAATGCCAGAAAGTCGACTGAAAAAACAGAAAAAGTTACTGAAGTGTGAAGGGAGTAATCAAGGAAAGGAGCCCAATTTTGCTCGTAAGGCACAAATCTCTCTTGTACTATAAAACTAAAATGTGGAAATAAGGGGAGCCCTTTACAGTGTGGTTTATTTAGTGATGGTGGTTTGAGATCTTTAAGATTCAGTTTCCCCGTAACAAAGTTTAGTGGCAAGGTGTGTTGGTTAATCAATTACCATGGGAAATTTTCTCCCTGACTTTAACCCCCAAAAGTTCGAGAATGAAATTTCCCCAATAAAAAATAAATTCACATTGGGGTCAGTTATGGCCTTCTGTGGTGAATACTTTTCCTGGTTTACCCTCAGTAGGAGTGAGTCTAGGAATTGGCTTTGGAAGTCTATGTTTGAATAAGACGAAATTAATAAGGAGAGGTACAGAATCAATTACATTAATAAGAATACATTACTGAGAATCAGAGGGGAATATGTGATGAAAAGAAAGTAAGGATAAAAAGCATCATTCAGAAGTTATGTGAGGAATTCCATGTATCCTTTAGGGATTCTGGGTATCTTGTCATGGCCATCTAGACATGTATTGGTAAGTGCAGAATTTTTTTATGAAAAAAAATCGTTAAGTCTAGAAAATTTTTCATGAGAGATTTTGTGTAGTAGCAATAATACCTTTTCATCAGCTGTATAAAGTGCTGAGGATAAATTTCAGAACTGCCAAGTATTAGTGACAATTGTGCATTCGTAGAACTGATAATTAACTACTGATACCCAGTCTATATCAACACAAGAATTAAAGCCTCCACTCAGCCAGTTAGATAAGATATAAGATAGATAAGATTTCGTCGGATTTTTAACCCCGAGGGTTAGCACCCAGGATAACCCAAGAAAAGTCATGCGTCTCGAGGACTGTCAACTATTTCCATTGGGTCCTTAATCTTGTCCCCCAGGATGGACCCACACAGTCGAGCATCATAAACCCATGTACCTATTGTGCTAGGTGAACGGACAACGGTGAAGAACGTGTCGAATGTTTCCACCCGCCGGGAATCGAACCCGGGTCCTCCGTGTGTGAAGCGGGAGCTTTAGCCACCAGGCCACCGGGCCACACTTGCTGCATGCTTCCATGCCAACAGGCAATGACAACTAGAATGTAAGATCATATAAACTGCATTAATTTGTACCTATAAATATTTAGAATAACAATGGTTGTTTAGCAAATTTGAAAAGAAATGTTATTTTTCCATATCTTTACTTAACATGAAGCTATTTTTTAAATGATGCCAAGTTTCTGGAATGTATCCACCATGGTATGAGTGTGTTTACTGTATGCTGTTTAGGTTAGGTTAGGTTTACCTGGCAATGTCAGGGGTCAATGCCCCTGCAGCCCTGTATGTAGTCCTGTGTATGCAACACATCTAGTCTGATTAAAAACTGACTTCAGGAACTTATCAAGCTTCCTCTTGAAGACAATTAGGGCTTTGTTGGTAATTCACCTTGATGGTTGAAGGGATATTGTTGAAAAGTGTTGAGTCTTCACACCAGTGGCATTGCGAGGGTAGGTGTCACCCCAATGAAATCCAAGGGCGGGGGGATGGGGGGAGTAAACTCCAGTTATGTCACTACTGCATGCCCAGTGACTAATGCTTAACAATGAGAATGTTAAGGGCCATAAATCGAACTGGAGAATACTTCTCAACTTTATTAATGATAAAATCATAGTAACATTGAGGAAACATAAACCCAAATACCACTTTGAGTACAGGCAACAGATCCTACATTTTTTCATCTTCAACAATGGGGGGAAAAAAAAAAGGGAAAATAAAGTAAAACGTTGCAATATCAGAGAAACACTAGTTCCAATTTGACCTTGAGTACAGGTAACATTTCAGTGAATCTGATCTTACATTTCCTTGCCTTCAATTCTGCAAAATCATCTATCACATCATCAAAATCAATGATTTTCCCTATATAGGCCTATTTGTCCTCTGTAATCACATAAAAGGCTATATAGAAATGAAGGATTCTTCTCTTATGCTGCTGCAGCACTGTTTTGGGCATTAGTGTCACCTTCCTTAGAGTCTCTATGGTGTCACTTGGGCAGCCCCCCTTACAGTGCAACTGCTTCACACTTAGAGTTCTCTCAATGTATTCAGTGTACCCCTGCTTTTTTATTGGGAATGTTTTGCACAATTTGCTGAGTCTCTTTTGTAGGGAGTGATTTCTGTGTACAGGTTTGGGACCAATCCCTCTAGAATTTTCCAGGGGTAAATTGTAATGCATCTTTCTTGTATTTCAGGGAGTACAGATTGAGGGACTTCAAGCATTCTCAGTAATTTAGGTGCTTAATTAAATTTATATAAGCAGTAAAAGTTCCCTGAACATTGTCCATATCTTCAGTTTTAGTTGCCTTTAATTAAAAGGCTTTGTTAAGTACAGCAGAGAGAGAGAGAGAGAGAGAAAGAGAGAAAGAGAGAAAGAAAGAGAGAGAGAAAGAAGAGTAGAAGAGAGAAAGAGAGAAAGAGAAGAAAGAAGAGAAAGAGAAAGAAAGAGAGAGAAAGAAAGAGAAGAGAAGAGAAAGAAAGAGAAGAGAGAGAGAAGAAAGAAAGAGAGAAAGAAAGAGAGAGAGAGAAAGAAAGAAAGAGGAGAAGAGAGAAAGAAAGAGAGAAGAGAAAGAAAGAGAAGAGAAAGAAAGAAAGAAAGAAAGAGAGAGAAAAGAGAGAAAGAGAGAAAGAAAGAAGAAGAAAGAAAGAAAGAAAGAAAGAAAGAAAGAAAGAAAGAGAGAAAGAAAGAGAGAAAGAAAGAGAGAGAGAAAGAGAGAAGAAAAGAAAGAAAGAAAGAAAGAAAGAGAGAAAGAGAGAAAGAAAGAAACAAGTGACTTTAAGAATATTGTCATTGGCTGAACATTTCTTGTTTTGAAACTTCAAGTTATCCAGCCTATCATTTTTTTTTTTTTTTTGCACTTGTGATAATGACATTTGTGATGCTTGAGAATGAGATCTTGTGACCTTATCATTAATCAATCCCTCATATTTGTCCTTTGCTTTGTTGAGTGATTCAAGTTTTTCTACTTCATTTCGGTTTTTGTTTCCTTAATTTTTCCATAATGAAGTAACTGAAATTTGTCCACTGTGAACATCATAGTGTTGTTAGTGACCTACTGAAAGATTTGGTTTACATGAGTTATGATGTTTGCTGTGTCCTCAATGGATGCCACTCTCGTACAGATTCTATTATCATTTGCAATGAATGATATGGTGCTATGATATATGTCTGCATATATTTGATATGAGGAAGAGAATAGGGGCCTAGAGGCACAGTTAGGTTAGGTTTGGTTTGGTTAGTTTAATTTATATTATTATTTGTTAACAAAAGTTAACCACCTTTATCATACCCTCACACCAATAAATGCAATAATACTTGTCAGAAAACTTAAAATCTTGCACAGGATTCTGACACCCACTGTGTGGACTATAAAGTAGACTCTAATAATTCTATTTCATTATTATGTCGGTATCACACATCCAGTATTTTCAGCCAAAGTGAAATACTGATGTTGTCTATTAGGCTGCACTGCATTGCTGACATATGCCTCTTTCTACTCCACATTACCTTGGTATATGAATACCTTTACCTTTGATACACCTTGAAGTGGTTTGGTTGTTGTTCCGTTCCCTGTAGCGGAATCTGTGACAACATTTTTGTCGTGATCACTTAGTCTTAGATTGTTGCTTCTTGTAGCCCACATACATACCTGATTGTGTGTTTGATTATATATTTTCTGTAGAAATGTGTCCAGTTCCCTTGAACATCTTCAGTATAATATGACTGGATAAATTAGACTGGTTTTTAAGTGAATGGCTGCCAATCAAGTCTGTCCCATTACAGTAACACATTTCTATATGTAGTTGGAACATTCTTGAATAACATAGGTTTTTTTTCAATTCCAGAAACAAATATCTTCTCTCGTGGCTGAGTATTTTGACCATGGGGAGACACACGAGACTTATCTCTCCTTTGAGGAATTACAAGTGTCGACGCGGGCCCACCTTGTGGTGGTGACAGCTATTGAACTGGCTATGGACCATAAACCTTCTCATAGGGAGATGACTAGTGTTCTCTTGGCAGATCTTTATGGTCACTTGCTCTTTGAGCCACATTATGCCAAAGGTATTATATTATTCAGTATCTGTGCACTGGGGTTCCCAACTTAGGAATCCACACTTATGAATGAGACCCGTAAGAATTAGCATTTGAAAAAATTGTTTTACTAATACTGATCTACTGTTAGAAAAGTATAACACATGCTTAATATTGATATTGTGTATTCTAGGAAAATAGGTTCTGGGTTACAAATAATTGGTTTGTAAGTTGGATCACCAGGAACAACTTGTTTGTTAATTGGGGACTCCATGTACAGTACCATTTTTTTTTTGATCACTTGTATCACCACAGTTTTAGTTGTAGTAGAGGTGCTTACATTTGTATTGAAATATAATACTGGAATTAATGAATCATTTCCTATTTTGTTTTGATCTGTCAGAGTATTGTGTGACTGAACATTAATACAGTACAGTAACATTTCCTACATTGCCTTGGTGGAAAATGACTGGTGGGGAAAATTTTAATAAGCCATCTTAAACTATTGAAATCAGTTGGGTAAAGATACTTAAAAAACAGTGAATGGTAAAATGGATGGAAAAGAAAGGTAAATAATTAACCTTAAAGAAGGACAAGCAAAAGTATAAATGAAAACTGAGAACTGTTTGGAAGGTACAGAGAAGCAGAGACAAGTGGCAAAGGGTCGAGAGGAATAGCATTGAGAGGAAGAGCAGAGCTAAGCAAGGGTTGTGTAGAATGTGTTAGAATGAGTTGTGTAAGTATTATGGTTATGATAAAACTCAATGCATTTTGAATTATGGTATTGGAAGCAGAGGTGAGCGATGATTTTAAATAGTGTCTGCTATGTTGGTTAGATTTCCTGATGATTAGGAATATAGGTATACAGTACATACAGTATTTTCTCCAGGATTTATTACTCGGCGCATTTTTTCTCTAATTATAGGAGAAAGCAGAAGAGATCACTAACACAACCAAATGGGTTCATCATTCTACCTGCCAACCAAATTTCTGAGAACATACAGGACTGTATTGGTAAAAGCAGAGCCATAATAGCAAACTTATCTTCCAGCACTTTTAAGGATCTAGTAGTTACAGACTCGGATAACATCAAGAACAAGAAATAGAATTGGGGTATATACCATCGTATGTGGGAGGAGGGATGTGAGAAGGTATATAACACCAAGAAACAGAATTGGGGTATACATCATCCTATGTGGAGGGGGGGGGGAGCATGTGAGAAGGTATAGGTATACAGTATAGTGAACATTGTTATATATGCTGTAATGCCAACAATACTTAAGGATACCTTATGGTCTTTAGTAATGCCAAACTAGTTGTCAGGGAATATAACCAATGTAGTAGACACTGTTTAGATTCATCACACATCTCCATCTCATAGCTCAAAATATAGGGGAGTTCCATCATATCTGAAATACATTGGTACCTCAGGATACGAAATTAATTCATTCCAGAAGGCTGTTTGAGTGCCGATACCGAACAAATTTGTTCCCATAAGGAATAATGTAAATTAGATTAATCCGTTTCAGACCCCCAAAAATACACTTACAAAAGCACTTTCATAAATACACTTACATAATTGTTCACGTTTTGAGCTGTTTGTATCCCAAGGTACCACTGTACATAAATTCTACCCAAGAAGGATAAGGCCATCACTTAGCCTGCCCTTCCTCTTAATGCATCTGACCTCCATCTGTATTTATATGACCTATCTCTTGTTCTCTTCACTGGATTGAGAAAACCCTGGCAGTCAAAATGTCTGTGTAATAATTGTCTTAAAACCCACATATGTATATTTACATGCCGGTAGTTGTTGATGTTGATTTTGTTTGCATTTTATAAATTCAGTGGATAAATAACCCAGGATAAACCAACATATTGCTATCAGACTTGACTTATTCCCATTGAGGTCCTTCAATCTTCCTTAGGATCAAACCAAACTAGTCAACTAATAGCCAAATACTACTTGCTTACTTGTATATTTGGTAAACTGGGGCAGCAGGTGCAAAGAAAAATACCCAACATTTCCACCTTTCTGAGGATCAAAACCTGGTCCCACAACTGGTAGCAACTGAAGCTGCTACCATTTGAGTCACAAACACTCTAGTGCTCCTTACTCATGTTCTTATGTTAGAAGAAATAGAAGATGTGACAATAAAGACTATCCTATCTGGCATGTTTTGAAGGATAAGCACCACATCCTACTTGGGTCAGTGGTTGGATTTTTCCCCACATGAAAAATTTGTGTGTAATGAGAATTTTTTTTCTTAGTCAACAGTGTAACACACATCATGCCACACTGCTGAAGTTAATTTTTATTATTATTATCACACTGGCCAATTCCCACCAAGGCAGGGTGGCCCGAAAAAGAAAAACTTTCACCATCATTCACTCCATCACTGTCTTGCCAGAAGGGTGCTTTACACTACAGTTTTTAAACTGCAACATTAACACCCCTCCTTCAGAGTGCAGGCACTGTACTTCCCATCTCCAGGACTCAAGTCCGGCCTGCTGGTTTCCCTGAACCCCTTCATAAATGTTACTTTGCTCACACTCCAACAGCATGTCAAGTATTAAAAACCATTTGTCTCCATTCACTCCTATCAAACACGCTCATGCATGCCTGCTGGAAGTCCAAGCCCCTCGCACACAAAACCTCCTTTACCCCCTCCCTCCAACCTTTCCTAGGCCGACCCCTGCCCCGCCTTCCTTCCTCTACAGACTGATACACTCTTGAAGTCATTCTGTTTTGCTCCATTCTCTCTACATGTCCGAACCACCTCAACAACCCTTCCTCAGCCCTCTGGACAACAGTTTGGTAATCCGCACCTCCTCCTAACTTCCAAACTACGAATTCTCTGCATTATATTCACACCACACATTGCCCTCAGACATGACATCTTCACTGCCTCCAGCCTTCTCCTCCATATTAACTTCCAGCCTTCAGCCTCTGGCAGTGGCTGGAGGCTGAAGGCTGGAAGTTAATATGGTCCTTAATTTTGAGAATAGACTATATCCTTGTTTTTACCACATGTTATTTTCTTGGTATATATATCATATTTCTGATTTATGGTAGTTATAAAGCTAGGTACAGTTGTGGTAGTCTGTATTCTTTTAGAAGACTCCGGCCATCTCCCATTGAGGCAGGGTGACCTAATAAGAAAAACGAAAGTTTTTCTTTTTACATGTAGCAATTTATACAGGAGAAGGGGGCTACTAGCTCCTTGCTCCTGGCATTTTAGTCATCTCTTACCACATGCATGGCTTATGGAGGAAGGATTCTTCTCCACTTCTCCATGGTGGTATGTATAAAATACTATATTATTACCCGTTACACAAGACATGGGTTGACCCATGAAAATGTATGGTACAGTATTATGAAGTTATTAAATGGTAAGTATTATTAATTGTATTTGAAATATTAATAAGGCGAACATTGTATTATATTCGTAATAAAATTATTGCACTTGCAATACAGGCTAGGAATGTGTTTTATAAGTAAGAAATAGAGGTAGAAGTAAATGGTCTTCAGTGTACATGCACAATTATTCTTCATCTCTATAATGAAAATTTATTCTTTATTATTTACCATAGTAAAACCATTTTTATAACTTTAAGTGCATGATTTTTTTACATGTATAAATATATTAAAGATAGCTTATAACATTTTACTTAATTGTCTTTGGAAAAAACAAAAGACTACAGTCAAATACAGAGGAGGCAGCAGAAGCAGTAGAGATGTAAACACCATGTAATCAATCCATTGCTCTCTTCTTTTACTTTTTATATTAATGTAGATTCTGCCGTGTGCATATGCATGCACACATGTGCATGCATGCACATATGCATGCTCAAGCCCTCTGGGTGCTAGTGATCATGTGACCTTGAAGTAGGAAAATACAGTAGATGGAGAGCATGAAATGTCAGACTTTAGAAGGGAAAATTTTGAGGGGTTGAGAGACTTCCTGAATGTAGTGTATTGGGACAGCGAATTGGAATGTAAATTAGTGGATGCAGTGATGGAGCACATTGCTGAAAAATGCAGGGAAGCTGTGGAGCCCTTCATACCAAGAAGATGCTGAAACAGCAAAGAAAAAGAGAGCCCTTGGTTCAACCAGAGATGCAGGGAGGCAAAAAAGAAATGAGTTAAAAAAATACAGAAAGAAAAGAATTGATGATAACAGAGAAGTGAACATATTGACCAGAAATAAATATGCTAGGGTGAGGAGAGAGGCTGAGAGACAGTTTAAGAATGACATAGCAGCACAGGCAAGTTTGAACCCAAAATACTTCACAGCCACATCAGAAGAAAGACGACAGTAAAGGACCTGGTAATTCAACTGAGGAAGGAAGGAAGAGAGCTCAGGAATAATGACAAGGAAGTTTGGGAAGTGTTGATAAAAGAATTTGAAGAGGTTTTCTTAGTGGAAACGGGCAATACCAAAGAGAATAAGAAACGGGAGCATAGACAGGTGTACTGGATGCCATCCACACAATGGGGAAAGAGGTAAAGAAAAATGAAACCTTTTAATGGACCTGTATACTGTACATCAAAGTCAATGAGACCTGACAACATGTCACTGTGGAGTCTGTGAGAGGGTGCAGAAGCACTGTCAAATCGCTAGCTATGATCTACAATAATTCAGTGGATTCATGAAATTGTAAGAGGAGGATCCCACTTTATGGCACTTTGCATTTTGATGATTATCTAATATAGCCATTTAAAATTATAATAAAACAGTTGATAAAACTCCCTGATTCATTATTACGGAGTCCGCACACCACTCTGTTTACGTCCTCTGTGATCTCTGCGTCTCTTGATTGTGTCTGGAAACTTTACAAAATTTCAAGTGTTTTAAAGTTGTGTATTTTCCATATACAGTAGTACCTAGGGATACGAACAGCTCAAAACTTGAATAATTATGTAAGTGTACTTATGTAAGTGCTTTTGTAAGTGTATTTTTGAGGGTCTGAAATGAATTAATTCAATTTACATTATTCTTTATGGGAACAAATTTGTTCAGTATTGA